AAGGATGACCACTAAAATTTCTGTTAAACCAGGATTCTCTTCATTAGTACTTACTGAATTTTTTTTGTGTGTGTGATTCTCCTTATTTTGTACCACCTCATTTGCTTCAACATTGTAGTGAAAGATGATCGTAATTTGATGAGGTAACTTGTTAGCAAGACTCCCATCTTAGGGACTGAAGTAAAGAAAACTTTTGGAGGAAGTAAACTGTTACTTTTATTCCTGCTTATACTGCAGAAACAATTACATAAACTATGAGCCATGGCCTTTGCATTAAATTTCTGGACAGCTTATTGTCTAGGGAGAATTCTCTACCTATTTGAGATATAACTTGTGCATAAGAAGAATGTTAGCGTTCCACAGGGTGGCCAGTGTGTTTGAAACACAAGCTAAGTTGTTCTTAAAAACAGCATTCCATCAGGTAAGTAATTGTGCCAAGCATATTTTGTTATTCTACACAAGTGATAACATGAAATTTCTTCATGTGAATTCAACTACCCTCTCACATCTTAATTCTTTCATTAATACTGCTGTTACTAAAACCCTTTAGTATAGATTACTACTATTGTTATTAATATTAATCCATGAAAGGAGCTAGTGGTTGTTTTTAAAAATCTCAAAAATACCACTTCTTCAGTGATGATCAGGAATGAACATGTTCACATACGAACCTGACCCATTGTAGCACATATAATGCTACTGGCCCACAGAAATGTTCTTGAAATATTTTCATAGGAGTGATTGTGGACTCACACTAATCTACCTAATTCAAGTTTTCTTACTGCATTTTTTTTTTCATTGACAATATTTATTGAACATTTAATTACTTAGAACCCATCAGTGTAGACAAAAATATCTGGCTTAATGGGAGTTGAACTCTGCGCATCACGACCAAATATCTCTACTTGTAATAGTTTATAGATATTGTTGGTGGCCATGTTTGGAAGAAACTACTAAACAGAAATAGAACCAGCAATATCTGCTATTGCATCTATCTGAAACCCTCTTTCCCTTGTTTTCCTGTGGTTGTCTTCTTATCAGTCAGGTACCAGTTCCTATGTCTACATCCTTTGACCAATCTTCCTGGTCCTCCCCATCTCATGCTACCAACCCTCACAGCAGTAGTCATTAAGTTGAATTACTCTGTTCGGTTCTCTCTGAAAGACATTTCTACTTGTAATTGGTTTATTTATTTGTGTCTCTACATTATCTCCTCTAAATTTAAGCAAACATCTGGTGTGGCTTTCTTGCTGCTGAATCTTCAGTGGCTAGCACAGTGGCCGACACACATGTTGAACAGATGGACAAACCTTGGTGTCACTAAGATGCTCTAAAACAGTACTGTCTAACAGAACTATAATGTAAGCCACATATGTAATCTTAAAATTTTTAGCAGCCACACCATAAAGTAAAACAGGTTAAATAATTTTAGTAATATAATTTACTTAAACCAGTATATTTAAAATATCATCATTTGAATGTATAAGCAATAAAAAATCAGTAAGGTTGTACATTATTTTTTCATATTATCTTCAAAATATGGTGTGTAGCTCACACTTATAGAACATCTCAATTAAGACTAAATTTTCTTTAGAAAGATTTCAGCTTTATTCAAATTTCACAAAATTTACTGTAGAAAAAAGTAGATTCACATAGCCAAGCTGTTCCAAATATATTCAAAAGTTTTCAAATAACTGAATCCTGTTTCATTTTAAAATTTGAAATTTAATTAAAAACTCAGTTTCTCCATCATTCCAGACACATGACAATGTTCATGGGCCACGTACAACTAGATAACATGCTTAATTTCAGTAAACCAAGGTGTAGTAATTATTTGAAAATTTGTCCAAAGAAATTTCATACTGAAAATCAACCATCAGCATATGTTTTACAAAGGAAACCTGAACACTGTCAAAATCATCCGTATTTTAAGACTATTATATTTATTCAATTGCCATGTAAAAGATCATAGTCAATGGAAAACAGATGAAGTTATATTAGCAAGCCTACC